TGGATCCTACCATTCTTTCAACAAGAACTTTGTTTTATCTTATTTTTGAGTCTTTTCTGGATAAGTCAGACTTGTAGATTGACCTAGAGGAATTTTAGGAGATTTTGTAGGCTTCTCTTGGGGGAAGTAGATAAGAGGAGAAAAACCTAGAGAGAAGGCAAACAGATTGGGAGCAGCCGAATCTCTCTTCTCTTCTCTTCTCTTCTCTCCGCCCCTCTTCTTCATTCTCTAATTTTCTTGGAGTTTTCACCATGACCATGCGTGGCTAAATTCTTGTACTTGGTAGAAGGAAGCAGAAGCCTCAGAATCCACCAAACTGTGAGATCTAATTTGGTTTTTATTGTTTAATTCATGCTTTGGATATCGAATGTTCTTCTATGTTTACATCTATGATTGTTTCGTTTGATTGCTAGGAAGGCCTACTAGTTTATTATTCGTTACAATCTATTGCTAGATTAGATATCAAATTCATAATTGTTTAGTCCCTCTAATCTATGAAGCAACTAGGGTTTAATGATTTGTTGCGTCAAAAATTGTTAGATCCTAGGAAGGACACTCGATTGAATTAAATGCAAACGCTTGTGCTTGTGTTGTTTAGCTTCATCGATCTCTAATGCTTAATGCTATTGCTGGATTAAATATTTAACACTTGTTTAGGGGTTGTTCAGTAGTAAGGGTTAAGATGATCGCTTGTTTTCCGATTAATTGATATTAGGAAGATGCAGGAAAATAATTCCTACGATGAATATTCAAAGTCTAGATTGATTTATTCTTGCATCGATGAGCAGTAGTGAAATTCTAGTGGTGGATGTTATCCTAGACCAAGATCCGTTCTTTTGGTTAATTACTACACTCTAAATTGCCTTGCTTCCCATTTAAATTTTGTTCTCTTTAATTCTGATTTTCTTTCTTTCAAATCTGGTTTTCGTTACACACACCGCCCCCCTCCATCTTTGATTCATGTAGCACATAATTCAGGTTAGATACTCTCTGTGGGAATGATCCTTACTAGCACTACTACATTTTATTCTCACAAGTATAGGTTTTATTTTTGGGTGCCTACGACAGTACACCAAATTTTGGCACCGTTGCTGGGGAGTTTTTCTAATCAGTTGTATGCTTCTCATGATCATTGTTTAGTTCTTGAAATTTTCAATTTTTTTTCCTTTTTTTTTTCTATAGATCACTTTGATTGTTTGTATTTTGGCATAGATTATTTTCTGTTTTATTCATTTATCTATTTATTTAATCATTCTAGATTTTTTTTATTTGTTTTATGGTATGTCGTTTAGGGTTTATTAGGTTTTCCTTAATTTATGCCTGTAACCCGATTCTCTAAGAAAGGTAATTTGCAGTTCGATCTGGAAATAGAAGGAAATTTGCGCAGGTTAAGGAGGGAAGCTCGGAGTCATTTCGAGAAGAATGATCTAGCCTTCGTTTCTCTATCTGTTAGCGGATCTAATTTGAGAGAAGAGGACATCATGGCCAGAAATCGAACATTGAAAGAGCTTGCTACACTGGATTTAAATCAGCAACCCTTATGCATAACTTTTCCTGCTTTAGATGCTGATGTTAATTTTGAATTAAAATCTGGATTGATACATCTGTTACCCATTTTTCATGGTCTTGCAGGTGAGGATCCACACAAGCACTTGAAGGAGCTGCATGTAGTTTGCACGAGCGTGAAACCCATGGGGGTAACGAAAGAGCAAATCAAATTGAGAGCCTTCCCATTTTCTTTGAAGGATTCAGCTAAGGATTGGCTCTATTATCTACCTTTCGGGAGTGTTACCACATGAAATGAGATTAAGAGGCTATTCCTAGAAAAGTACTTCCCAGCTTCAAGGGCGGCCAATATCAGAAATGAAATCTGCGGTATAAGGCAATACAACGGGGAGTCCCTACATGAATACTAGGAACGCTTTAAGAAATTATGTGCAAGCTGCCCCCATCATCAAATTAGTGAATAGTTACTTATCCAGTATTTCTATGAGGGTGGTCTTCAACCCACTGATAGGAGCATGATTGATGCTACTAGTGGAGGAGCTTTCGTGGATAAAACCCCGAGGCCGCGAGAAATCTGATTGCAAACATGGCGGCCAATTCTCAACAGTTCGGCTATAGGCTCAACCCTCCATCAAAGCGTGCTAATGGGGTAAATATCTCTTCCCTTGAACAACAAATTGCAAGTCTGACTTCTCTTGTTTGTCAAATGGCTGTAGGTAAAATGCAAACGATGAAGGTTTGCGGGATATGTTCAATAGTAGGGCATCCAACTGATATGTGCCCAACTCTTCAAGAGGAGCCCGTTGAGCAAGTAAATGCGGTAGGTGGTTTTCCAGGGCAACCGCAAAGGAAATATGATCCCTATTCGAGCACGTATAATCCAGGATGGAGGGATCACCCCAATCTCAGCTATGGGAATCCACAAAACCACCCAAGTTTCCCGCAATATCATCCGACTTTCCAGCAATATCAGCCGCACCCCCCTAGACAACAGCCAACCCAAAATTCCGATTCAGATATGTTTTTAGAGGATATTGTCAAATCTCTTGCCATTAACACTTTGCAATTTCAGCAGGAGACAAGGACCAGTATCCAACGTTTGGACAATCAGATGGGCCAAATGGCAATGATGATTAGCCGGTTAGAGGCGCAAAGTTTGGGGAAATTACCCTCTCAAACAGTTGTGAATCCAAAAGAAAATGTAAGTGCAATCGTTTTGAGAAGTGGTAAACAGGTTGAGGCACCAGCAAGGGCAGCCCCCGCATTGTCAAACCAAGAAAAGGAGAAAGACATCACTCCCGATGGTGATGAAGTACCCAAGCGTAAGTTTCCTCCTCTTTCTGATTATAAACCGGTACCTCCTTTTCCTAATGCTTTAGCAGGTTATAGGAAAGATGAGCAGTTCAAAGATTTTTATGAAACTTTCCGTAGATGCGAGGCAAATATTCCCCTTTTTAATGCTCTTAAACAAGTACCTCATTATGCTAAATTCCTAAAAGAATTATGTACACATAAAAGGAAACAAAAACTAAAAGGATGCGAGAAGGTGAGAGTAAGGGAGAATGTTTCTGCAGTCATTAAAAAGCTCCCTACAAAGTGCAAGGATCCAGGTACGTTCACTATCCCCTGCATGATAGGTAACACTAGAATTGAGAAGGCCATGTTAGACTTAGGAGCTTCTATTAATGTCATGCCATATTCTATATATGCTTCTGTGAAACTTGGACCTTTGAATAAGACTGGTATAGTGATTCAATTGGCTGATAGATCGAATGCTTATCCTAAGGGTGTAGTTGAGGATGTTCTTGTGAAAGTAAATGATTTGTTTTTTCCTGCGCATTTTTATGTGCTTGATATGGATAATGGTGATCAAACCACTCCTATTCTGCTAGGAAGACCATTCTTAAAAACATCCAAGACTAAGATAGATGTTTATAGTGGCACACTCACCATGGAATTTGATGATCAGATTGTTAAGTTTAATATTTATGATGCCATGAAATATCCTACTGATGATAATCCTATTTGTTCTGCCCTGACTTTTGATGGGAGACATTAATGATATCTATAAATCTGAAGATCATAAGTCCTATAGAAATAACAAGCCTTCCTCTCTAAACATATGCAAAATTTCATACAAAACTTTAACCTGGTTGACTTTGAGTCTGTAGGGCCTCCTTTCACATGGACTAATGGCCAGTAGGGCACATCAAAAGTGCTAGAAAGATTGGATAGAGCCCTAGCTGTCCCATCCAGGTGTCGGTTGTTCCCAAATTCTCTACTCTGGCACTTTCTAATAACTAGCTCAGACCATGGTGCCATCTCCATCAACACCGAATCAGTTTCCCTCCAAAGGAAACCCCATTTTCACTTCTTGCATTTTTGGACTGACAACCCACAATGCAAGCAAATTGTCTCAGACCTATGGAGTTAGCATATACAAGGTTCTCTTGCCCATAAAATTGTTACAAAGTTGAAATTATGTAGGTTTGCTCTCAAATCCTAGAACAAAAGCCACTTTGGTCAAATCCAAAATCACATTCACAGGCTGGCTAACCAAATTTCATCCCTTCAAATGAATATTATGGATGCAAACCCCCAAGATCATATTCATTCTCTTACAAGCCAATATCACTATTGGCTCTTAAAAGAAGAACATATGTGGAGAATTAATTCTCGAGAGCTGTGGCTACTGGAGGGTGATAGAAATACAAAATACTTCCACCACATGGAAAATTTCAAAAACACAAAAAATAGTTTAGTATGGTTAAAATCTCTAGATGGCTCTTGGACATCTAACAATTCCTCCATTGCACAAGTGTTCAAACAATCAGTTCTGGAAATTGGGGGTCAATAGGAGGTTTTTGATCCATGTATGTTGGACACAGTTTCACTCCCCACCTTATCCTCATCTCAGAAGGACTCACTATTGCTCCCACCCACAATAGAAGAAATCTTCGTGGTGGTTAAACAATTGCACCCTCATAAAGCACCTAGACCTGATGGATTTACTCCTTACTTTTACCAATACTTCTGATATCTAATTGGCTCAGATATTTTTGCTATGGTACTAAAATTTTTTGATACAGAGTTCCTGCCAAAAGAAATCAACAATACAAATTTAGTCTTTGTGCCCAAAAACAATCAGTCAGTGGATGCTTGAAGTTACCGTCCCATTAGTTTATGTAATGCACTTTACAAAATAATTACCAAATGGATGGTACTTCGCCTCCAACCTGTATTATAGGAACTGATATCTCCATTCCGATCGGGTTTTCTCAAAGGAAGGAAGATTATAGATAATATCCTACTGGTGAAGGAGATCCTTCACAAATTAAAGCTTTGAAAGAAAGGTCAATGTTTCATTGCCCTAAAGCTAGACATGTCTTAAGCTTTTGATAGAATGGGCTTGCTGTTTCTATATCATGTTCTACAAAAGATGGAGTTCCCTATGAAATGGTGCAACATGATTCATCAGTGTATATCTACTACCTCCTTCTCAATCAAAATTGCAGGTGAATCTCATGATCACTTCCATTTGAGCCGTGGTGTTAGGTAAGGGGATCTAATCTCCCCATATCTGTTTATCATAGGCATGGAGGTACTCACTCAACTCTTGAATCAAGCCTCACTTTCAGGACAGCTTGAGGGAGTAAAAATTAATCGTAATGGTGCTCCTATCACTCATCTCCTTTTTGCATATGATTGCATTCTTTTCTGCAAAGCCGATATAGCTCAGGTTAAAACTTTGGTTAATATTCTAAAAACTTTCGAAAGTATGTTAGGATAAAAAATCAACTAATCCAATTCAAGTATCTACTATACCAGGAATGTTCCCCGTCAGCGTCGCAAATTTCTCTCTCACATTCTGCAGATAAAGAAACCACTCGTTGGCATCAAATACCTTGGAGTACAGGTGGGATCAAGCACTAGGCTTTGTTGTTCACATAAGGAGATAATTAACAAGGTATCTTCGAAGATAAACTCCTAGAGTTCTAAACTTCTATCACAAGTTGGTAGAACCACTCTAGTCAAGTTTGTCCTCCGGTCCATTCCAACCTATTTTATGCCAACATCAAGTTTTCCGAAAGCAACAACCTCCGAACTGGACAAAATGGCTAGGTTGTTTTGGTGGGGAGATATCGCTAGTGCTTCTAGACACACTATTCCTTGGAGTAAGGTATGTCAACCTAAAAGCCAAGGAGGCTTGGGTTTTAGAATTTATGGTACTATGAACCAAGCTATGTTTGGAAAGCAAATATGGAGACTCCTAACAGACAAGCAAGGTTTTTGGAGTAAACAATCAAATTCAAATACTTCCAATACACCTCCTTTTTTGCATCAAAAAAAGGTTGGCACAGTTCTCAATGGTGGCAACAAGCTCACCAGTTATTACCATTGCTGCGTTCAAATCTATTGTGGTCTATTAATGATGGTCCGAAGTCTCTACAACTTCAGACCCTTGGGTCCCATCATTACTTGGACACGTACAACATCTTAACACATCATCATCCCAAAATCAAGTGTCTTATTTAAAGGTTTTAGAACTACTTAACCCCAAAGGCTCATGGAACCTCTCCAAATTGCAGCAGTTCTTTCAGGCTTCTACCATCCAACATATCATTGCAATTCATCCAGAACCAAGCTAATCCACTGACCTACTTATCTGGAAAAATAACGCTTCAGGTAACTATATAGTAAAATCAGTTTTTCACTTCTTATCTTCATTGGGTGCTTCAAGTTCGGTTACCTATTTTAACTGGAAGATAAACTGGAAGCTTAAGATCCCATTCAGGTTCCAAGTCTTCCTCTAGAAAATCCTTTGGGATGGGCTGCTCACAAAAAATAAGTGTGTTTGGCTGTTTGAATCAGATAAACTTTGTATATTTTGCAAGGTCCATGAAGAATCAACTCATCATCCGCTCTTTTAATGCCCATTTGCGTGAGTTGTATGGTGTGGGGCCCAGATTAGTTTAAATCCTTCATCCACACCTCAGCTTCCCATTCATATCTTCATTATAGAATGCTTCTTTTCTGTGTCAAAACCTAGGCAAACAACAAGCTATAACGAGTCTCTACAAATTTGCATTGATTATCTACCACATATGGAAAGCTAGAAATAAGTGAATTTTTGAGAACATTAGGTGCGAACCCACACAGATCGTTAAAGTAGCGGACAATTTCTTTGTAGAATATCCACTATCTCGGTTAATGCTACCTTGGCCTCATCAGTTACACCATAGTAATTTGCCATCCTTATTTATTGATGGTTCTTTTGATCCAGATTCAGATTATGCAGGACAAGGGTTCATCCTCCAACACGCCATTGAACAGTACACCATTATAGAAGGCAGGCCTTGTTGGGCACTTAACAACTATGATGTTGAAATTCGAGCCCTGTTAAGAGGGCTTTAAGTGGCCACTACAAAAGGAATATCACATCTTTTAGATAACAGAGCATTAGTTGAATTTGCAAATATAGATCAAGTAACTCAATGGTTCAAGCTACTGCATAGAAGCTGATGGTGCATGATATGGAAGCTCCTAGTTGGAGGATCACCTGGATGCCGGTCGCTTCGCGAACTGGTTTAAGATACAAGAAGACGAATTAGAGAACTCGGGGTGGCTAACCCGGCGAGGTCGCTCCGATGCTTAAGTTAGTATTGTACTCTGGTTGCGAGCTGAAAGCTTGAATGTAAATAGCTAGTGAGTAAGCAATCGCGCATACCTTGTGCTATGGGGGCCATTGCCCTTATATAGTTGGTCTACCGTGAACCTCATGATGCCTCTCCGAGATCCTCGGGCTGAACAATAGGAGTTTGTTCCGCTACGGAAGGTGAATAATGGGCTGGCCGATAAACCTCATTGTGTCCACCCGAATCGGGCGGGATGAGGCTAAGACCTACGGATGCGTGGCGTTATCCTGAAAGACTCGGAGGCAACTAGCGGGATTCTAGAACTTGCTACGTGTCACCTCGGAAAATACGGGCATTTGGGATACCCTGTCCTCAGGGCGATCTGAAGTGACTGGGACACCCGAGGTGACCGATCTGCTGAGGTGGTCGGAAGCGCCGAGTCATCACCTGGCTGGAAGATTTTGTCCACATGTCGTATGTTCATCAGGTCGGGCCAAATAACCCCTCATCAATTGGCCCCCACTCCTTGTGCACGGGTCAAGACTCGGAGCGAGGAGTCCATGATGAGCTGAGGTGGATATGGCCTTAGTCGATTTGGCGGTTTGACCCTAGTGACCTGCTCGGCTCGACCAGGTACCCAGATCGTGTATCAGGAACGCGCAAACGTCACGTGGATTATTAACTCTGCAAACGTCAAAATGCGCTTAACTGATTTCAACCTTGGAAGGAGTGCAACCGGTTTTCATGGGAGTTGTCGGATCATTTTGATGTTACCTGTCCAAAATTGACTACAATATCTATAAATAGGGGCTATGGGGTCCCCATTTTCTTCACTGTGATTTGTGTGTTCGTGATCTGAGCTCGCATGTCCGCTTTCAGGTCGGTGTCACCTATTCTTGTCCTTCGAAGTCATCTTCTCTTCTCTCCGATCTAGGTAAGTTTCCTTCGTTCCTACTTGTTTTCCTTCCATTACATTGTCGTGTCAACACTGGTAGTCTACTAGATGCCAGCAGCGAGTCAAGTGGGACCGAGGTGAACTCCTCGGGCCAAGAGTAGACTCTAGTCCTAGTGAGGTGGGCACCCATGGCTCTGAGCCTAGTCAACCTGAGGTGGACTCCCAAATAAAGGAGCGGGAAGACTCCGGGAAGGAAGCCTCGAGCTCCCGTAGTTCTCAGAGGACGGGCCGGACTGCTTCGGTCCTTTCATAATGACTGTGGAGTGACTGTGAACACTGGCCGAGTACTATATATTCCCCGAGGGCCACAGTTGGTGTATCCCTTTAGAAGGGTATCCTTGGGATCACGATGACGAGGTTGTGGTGTTTGAAGAGCAGCTGACAGCCGTGCTGCGCTTCCCGCTCCACCCGTTCATTGTGGAGATCCTCCACTTTTTCAACATAACCATAGGCCAGCTTCACTTGAACTTAATTCGCTCTATAGTAGGTACCATCTCCCTGTTTCACCACTTCGGCAAACCTTTGACTATGGATACCTTTAGCTCGATTTGTTCCAATAATAAGAACTCCACCAACCTTCCTTCTTCTGAACACCGTAGCTATTACCTGACCCCCCAACCTGGATACAAGATCCTGTATGGTTTCCCCAACAAAGTCCCGGCTTGGAAGAGGCATTATTTTATCGTCACTGTGACTGGGGGTGGCCATTTCTGACTCCTTGGAGAACGGCCATCAGTGACCCCGACATCAAGCTAGATAAGGACATGAAGAAATAGGTTCGTGCCTGGGTGAAGGTCAGGTTGGAGCTGGACGACTTCCTTGCCAAAGAGAAGTTAGTTAATGCAGGGCTGAGTCTGGGTAGGTCTCCACTTCAAATTCACACACTTGACCCTCATCCACTGAGCTCGTCGCTAGTTCCACTGCACTTGCTGCCCCGAGAAAGGAGGACATGCCTGTCATTGACCTGGTCGAGGATGACTAGGAAACCAGGTTGCTAGCTCGCGAGCCTGAGGTGGTCCAAGAGTTCAAGGCCCAGCCTGTCCAACCAGAGGTTTCCGCTATCGGTGCAATTCCTGAGGAGGGCCAAAGCTTTTTTGATGCCTGGGTTGCCACCCTCAAGAGCAAGGAAGTTGTCTTTCCTATCGAGGTGTTGAAGTATGCAGGGATGCCACGCTCCAAGCTCACTGCCACTGTGTGGGGTCATCTGATGGTGGTATGTTTCTAACTTCACTTCTTTGTCCTTTGTGCTTTTCCTACCTTACTGATCGGTACAACTCATTTGCAGACGAACTCGATGATTCACTCATTGGTGGAGCTGTTGAAAGTTTTAGAGTCAACGGCAAAGGTTCTAGCTGCCGAGTTGAAAGCAGCGGAGTGCCAGTCCAGGACATTGAAGGCTATGGAGCTAATGAAGAAGCGAGAGGTAGAGGCGAAGTGAAAGGAGGAGCACATCCGTGAGTTGATGAAGGAGGTTGAGGAGAAGAAGGCTCTCCTCTCTGAGTGCAAGGCTATCTTGTCCTAGGAACTAAAGGAAGTTGGTGCTCACGCTGTTCATGCTTAGAAGACTTCTTCGGAGTTAAGAACTTTGTGAACGAGACAGCTACCTTGGTCTTCTGCAAGGGCTTCAAAGTTTGCCGCTAGTTGGCAAGGCGTACGTTTACAAAGATCGATCTTCAACCGCTCACAACAATCGGGGTCTCCACAGAGATTGTAATTCAAGCAGTGGGCGAGGATCCGGATTCCGAGGAGGATGGGGATGATGATGCTGAGTTGGAAGCTGGAGAGAGGCACAATTTAGTCTTGATGGGGCTCCTTGCCCCCTCCTTCTACAAGCTCAGCATCCTTTGTCGGGTCCACCTCCATAGATGTGCTCGTAGCAGCAACCTCATCGGTCTCCATGACCTCATCAACTGCTATGTCGGAGTTCCCCGACTTCTCTCCGGCTTCTAGTTCAACATCATCATCCCCATCCTCCTCGGAATCCAGATCCTCGCCCGCCGCTTGAATTATAGTATCTGTGGAGACCCTGATCGTTGTGAGCGGTTGAAGATTGAGCTGGGGGAACGCACGCCTTGCCAGCCAATGACAAACTTTTAAGCCCTTGCGGAAGGCCGATGTAGCTGTCTCATTCACAAAGTTCTCGAACTCCAAAGAAGTCTTGTAAGCATGAACAACATGAGCACCGAATTCCTTTAGTTCCTAGGAGAAGATAGCCTTGCACTCAAAGAGGAGAGCCTTCTTCTCCTCAACCTCCTTCATCAACTTGCTGATGCGCTCCTCCTTCCGCTTCGCCTCTACCTCCCACTTCTCCGCTGCTCCACAGCCTTCAATGTTCTGGACTGGCACTCTGGTTCTTTGGACTCGGTAGCCAGAACCTTGGCCTCCAAGACCTTCGCCTTTGACTCTGAGACTTGCAACAACTTCATTTGGCGGTCGGACTGCTCCACCAACGAGTGAATCATCGAGTTTGTCTGCAAAGGAGTTGTACTGATCAGTAAGGTAGGAAAAGAACAAAGGACGGAGAAATGAAGTTAGAAATGTACCACCATCAGATGACTCCACGCACTAGCAACGAGCTTGGAGCGCGACATCCCCACATACTTCAACACCTCAGTGGGAAAGACAACTTCCTTGCTCTTGATGGTGGCAACTTGGGCATAAAAAATGCTTTGGCCCTCCTTGGGAATTGCACCAGAAGCGACGACCTTGGGTTGGATGGGCTAGGGCTCGAACTCTTGGGCAACCTCAGGCTCGCGAGCTGGCGAATTCGTTCTCTGGTCATCCTCAACCAGGTCGATGACAGGCGCGCCCTCCTTTCTTCTCGGGGCAGCAGGTGCAGTGGGACTAGCGATGGGCTCGGTGGATAAGGGTTCGATGCGAGACACCTTCCTCTTATTCCTTTTCTTCATATCAAAGAAAAGCTTGTTGACAGGGATATCCACCATGGTACCTATATCACAGACACAGACTTAGTGAAGAAGCTGGTGAGAAAGATAAAAAATTCAAGTGTGTGAAACCGAAGTGGAGACCTAATTGGACTCAGCCCTGCATTAACTAACTTCTCCTCGGCATAGAAGTTGTCCATCTCCAACCTGAGCTTCGCCCAGGCGCGGACCTGTTTCTTCTTGTCTTTATCTAGCTTGATGTCGGGGTCACTGATGGCCATTCTCCAATGCGTCAGAAACGGCCACCCCCCAACCATAGTGATGATAAAATAACACTTTTTCCTCTTCTCGCCTTGTTGGACATTTGCCTTTGGGTCGAGAGCTTCTTTGGTGCTCATGAACCTCTCAGCATAGTCGAGGAACTCCGCGATCATCCTTGGGCGATGTACTTTGAGTTACCATGCGAACTCCTTGTGCTTAACTCCCTTTCCTGCCGCAGTGAGGCACACAACCGAATCGAGGTCGGGGATCTGCAAACACTCTTCGTTGAAGCGCTTGGTGTAGTTTTGAATTGATTCATTCTCCCTCCGGACCACGTTCAAAAGGCTCTCTTGTGATTTCGGGCATTTCTTACTAGTGACAAAGTGGGCGGTGAACATATCAGCGAACTAAGCCCAACTTTTGATCGAGCCCGGTGCGATGTTTTTGTACCACTACCTGGCTAATCCTCTGAAGGTGGTAGAAGGCCATGCACATACACACCTCATCTGCTCCGGCAAGGTGCATTTGAGACCGAAACCTATCGACATGGTCATTGGGTCGAACTGTCCATCATATGTTTCTAAGGTAGGTGTCTTGAAGTCCTTTGGCCTTGGGTCCGCTAGTATCTTGGGTGACAGGGGGAGGGCCGGCTGAACAAAGCAAGAGCCGGCTGTGCAGCTACCAAGCTCACTTCCTCTCTCACCCTTTTTTGTTTTAGTGGCTGATTGCTTCTTGGTGGCAGACTGTTCCTGGCAGAAGATCGGCGCATCTTGCGACATTGTCGCTGCTTCCACATCGGTGTTGTTGACCTCGGTGTTATCGGGTACTTCGACCCTGGTTCATTCTCTCTCCCATATACTGTCACGAGGTGGGAGTGGGTTCCTACATTTGGCATCTTCTTGGTTGCAAACTCGCTATTGACTATTATGGGGAGCCGAGGGGTCTCGCCATGAGTCCGTGCCTCGTGCTCCGAGCTGGCGGTCATTGATCTGTGACTCACGATTCTCAGGCCGCGAGTGTTGTTGTTGATTGGTCCTTGTATGCTAGCTGAGTTCGGGCCTATCTTTAGGGTTTCCTCTTCAGAAGGTTGGGGTGTACATTGACCGTCAACTCTACCCCGAGGTGGGGTCCAGTCCCTGGGAGGGACCGGGATTTGTGAGTTTTCCACACTCCAAGGAGGAGATCGGCGTACACCTTGCTACTGCTGATTATGGGCCTGAAGCTGGTTCTGGTTCTGAGGCTGATGCTGATTTGGTTATAGTGGTGGAAACTGCTACCGGTACTGTTGGTAGTAGTATTGTTGGAACTGGTAGATTTGTTGCATTTGCAGTTGCATGGTTCAGATACTCTGGACCAACTTGTTGAATTGCTGGTGCTTAACCTCGGGAGGGACCATAGAGGGCTCCAGCACAGAGAAAGTATGGTGTGTCCGGAAGCGTGTCGTTAACCACTTCGGAACACTAGTTTCAATATTTATAAATTTTTCGATTCTCAAAGTAACTACAAAACACAGTTAGTGGTGAGAAATGGGTCGTATCGACAAGGAAGCGAGGGAAAAATTGTTATGTACTTCAATCCGAACAAAATAACAATATTTGATATTGCAGAAACACAAAATTTAATTAACTGAACTGGAATCTATTAAAATAAAATTCTAACAATGCTGAAAGTAAAAATTGCAGAAAAATAAATAAATAACAGTAATAAAAAACTAAATAAAAAGTTTGCAACTCGGTCAGAGGTAGTAGTCTCTGGATCCATCCTTTGACCCTCGAACTCCTCGAGTTGGGCCTTCCGTCTTAGCTAGCCGAAGTTTAGATCTACAGAAAGGAAGACGAAAATTAAATTTGATAAAAATAAACTACAGAAATAAAATAAAAATTGGAAATTAAAGAACGGAAAATAAAAACACATGTAAAAAGTAAATCTAAAACTATGGGAAATTAGTTGGGATCCAGATCTAGAAGTGGCAGTAGTGGCTAGGCGAATTGCAAGTAGGAACCCCTCCTCTTGCCTGGGCGGTCTCCTCTTCCTCTACCCTTGAACTTCTCAAGAACAACCTTCCGTCTTACCTGGGGGTAGAATCCAACCCCTTCTCAGGACCCCTTGGGTCCTTTTTATAGAGAAGGAATAATAGGTTTGAGATTAGAGAGAAAGAGAGGGGTGGTAGCTGAGGTTTTGCAGAAATATGGGCACCCTAATGTTGAGAATGGAGGGTTAAGATTGTTCTAACGTGATCCTAAGGCTGAGAAGAGAAGGAGAGGACGCACAATATTATGTAGGGCTGAGATTTGAGCTCCTAGAATGGAGGGAGTAGATTTGGGCGCCTAGAGTTGGAGAAATGTGATTGGTTGGTGTATGTGGTGCCCTAAGGTGATTGGTTGAGGTTTAAGGAGTGAGGTATAAGGCTAGGATGCTGTCTAGGGAGAGATCTAAGGGTATGAGGGGCTGCTAAGGCTTGGATGGTTGAGATTAGAGAGAGGTTGCAGTGAAAGGTGGGGATTTGCAGAGCTGGGGGCAATCAAGAGATAAAGAGATGTAGGGGAGGTGCATAAGGCTTCAAAGAGAGAGTTATTTTACAAGAAAGGCGCATATATAGGTTTAGCAGATAGGAGGCACCCTCCTGTGCTCAGTTTTTCACAAAAACACTCCCTCTCTCAGCTGGAATTCGCACCAGCTTCCCAAAATCTGTAGAAAACTCTGTAATTTCCCAGTTTTTATCCAGAATTTGCATAGAGACCCTTAGAGGTCACAATATTGAATTAACCAGAACAAGGGTACAAATTAGTGATAACCCTGCATTTTAATGCCTTAAGGGCATCAATTCAGGGGTATTTTTGGCCTTAGAATAGTCAAAGTGTACCATTTTCCCAGTTAAAATCAATTATGTTATTGGTATCCAAGAGCTTTCTTGATGTTCATTTAGTTGTAACTAGATAGAAAAACATTGTACCATTTTCCCAAATAGTGGATGATTTAGACTTCGGCCCCATGGTTTTTACCCTCACATTGAGGGGTTTTTCACGTAAAAACTTGGTGTTTACTACTGTTGCTTGCTCTGTTTTTGGTTGTTTGTTTTATTATTGTTGCATGCTTGATATTTGTGGTTAAGATCTCTGTGAATTTTCACAAGAAAAAATATAGGGATTATTCCCAACATTCTTGATAGTTGATAACATTCTGAAAAAAAAATCAGAAAGAAAAAAAAAAAAAAAGAAATTTGTAATCAACAACGTTATCAACTATCAAGAATGACAATGCATAAGCTTTCAATGCAGAAAGCATACAATCTGCAGATCTGTATACAATACTAATTCAAAACTAGCTATAAGCTCTAAGCTTTGATATATAAATGTAGAAATGCTCACTCTCATGTCTCAAGTACCAACCAAATCCTAAACTGCTTGGGACTTTTGCAGTGTTATCATATTCATGAGCAGGAAATTGTTGTTAACAATGCGGTGCTCTCTGGCTACGAGAATATAGGTGTGGTGTCATTAGGCTGTTTGGTTTGACAGGAAACAACAAGGGAGAAACAATTACCAAAAAACGTGCGAGAAACAGGAAAGTTCTCAAAGCCATTACATGTCTGTATATCTGTTGACTATTCTAAGACCCTTTGGACTCTATAGTATCTTATGTGCACTATAAATTGTTAGTTGAATGCAATATCCCCCCGAACCTATGATGGATGATTGAGGACCTATGAAAGAAACTTGAGATTTGAAAGAGTCCAAAACTGTTTGGAAGGTAAAAAATGCAGACATAGTGTAGCTGCAATCCATATTGGAACAATCCACTGGGTTCTGTGTTAATCAGAGCATGTACTATTCCTCAAGAAAAAGAAATACAATAATAACATCACTGAAAACCAAAGAAGCAGAGACTTCAAGTGAAAAGTATACAAAAAGGTGTCCATGAAGGAACAATGAGTAAATTAGGACTATTACCTCCTGGTTTTGAGGTAATAATACTGCACGTAACTCACCATGATTAAATGCTATAAATATTTTGACAACATCTGCAATACTCACGACTTGGAATCTGTTGATGAGGTGGTCTGCTTTGATTGAGAGGAAGAATTGGATGTATTGCTCTGTGCTTGATGACTGTGGTTAGAAGATGACTCGGAGTAGAAAATTATATTTTCTTGGTTGTCCACAAGAACTTGGAGAGATCTTGGGACTGGAGGGGTATTCACCTCCAAAACCCCTTCAAGTATCTGAACTACTTGACCCATTGATGGCCTATGAATTTCGTTATCTTGGATGCACCAACAAGCAACTCTGCAGACTCTATTGAGTTCTTCCACATTGGCATCACCCCCTAGTCTGTGATCCAACATGCCAAGGACTTCCTCACCTTCGCTTACTTGTCTTGCAGCCCAAGTGGGAAAGAACCTAACCTTTCCATCTTCTGATTGCTCGGAGTTTCTCCTTCCTGAAATAATTTCAAAAAGCATCATGCCATAACTATAAACATCAGCTTTAACTGTTATAGCCACACCTGAAATCCACTCTGGTGCAAGGTATCCTCTGGTTCCTCTCATGGTTGTCAGAACCCGGCTGAATTCCCGCCCAATAAGCTTTGCCAAACCAAAATCTGCCACTTTGGGACAGAATTCTAAATCCAAAAGTATGTTCTCCGGCTTGATATCACAGTGTATGATGCAATCTCTGCATTTCTCATGTAGATAAGCTAATCCCCTAGCAGTTCCAAGTGCAATCTGGTATCTGGTCTTCCAGTCTAAAGTTCCAGACTCTTCACGAAACAGATGAAAATCTAAAGAGCCATTTGGCATGTAATCATACACAAGCAACCTTCTAGTGCCTTCAGAGCAAAAGCCCCGAAGACGAACAAGATTAACATGTTGAATCGCCCCAATCGTGCTCACCTCTGTCCTGAACTGCTTCTCTCCTTGATGGAGGCCTTCAAGCTTCTTCACAGCTATGATAGCTCCATCGGGCAATGTACCTTTAAAAACAGAACCGAAACCTCCTCCTCCCAATTTTTCTGAGAAGTTCTTGGTCGCATTCTGCAAGTCTCTGTACCCAAAAGGAATCAAAGAACCCTCGAGCGCATTTGACAATCCAACCGATCCGCTCCTCTTCCTTCTCCAGACTAGCACCAAAACAAAGGCAAAGATGATTACAAAACCAATAACCGCACCCACAATAACCCCAATTGGTGTTCCCTTCTTGCTACCAGAACTTGGAATCTCAGATGCAGCAAGTCTGAGATAGAAATCATCTCCACGACTCTCACTGTCTGATAGTTGTTGCAGGTTAAAGAGATCTCCATACCATATTGAGCACCTACCATTACCAAAAGAATAAGCAGTACAAGAGCAGCTGTTCAAGCAAGCTAACTCACAGGCTCCCAGAATCTCAGCTGCCACAGACTGCGAATTTAATGGCAATTTTACGTTGGCCATCCGTGAGAAGATATCTTTCTTCCCATTAACAGCAGTAGTATCGTTGCATTGCAAGGGGGTTCTCCTCCGACACCCACCAGACCGATCGCTTAGATTCCAATCTCTTACAGAATTTACTTCAAAACCAGGCAAACATCCACAGAAGGGTAAGCCTTGCTGGTTGCAGGTACTAAAAGTGCCACAAAGCTTATAAACTTCACACTGTTGTCTTGGTTGAGACCAAAACAAATTCCACTTCGATTGGTCTTCCAGCCACGTGAGTTGTTTGATCTGCCCCGATAAATCCATCACGAATCTCGAAATAAGAGAGCTATCATAAACACTATAGGTGAAGTAACTCTGGTTCACGTTATCTTCGTAGCTGAAATTGTAGATATAATTTGATCTCATCTCAGGAACTTTGCTGAAAATATGTCCATTCCAAGGCCCACTTTCCCAGTATTGTAGAGACCCGTTCCACAGTATGATATATTGATTGGTTCCTGTTGGATCTAGCTCGAGAGAGAAGATCCCAGGGGCGGGATCATCTTCACTTCTCCATGAGGTAAGGAGCTGGGATTTGTTGGTGCGTTTATTGAATGAAAGCTTTCCACCAGGAAGCCATGTATGAGTTGGATGATCAAAGCTCTCCCAAATAGATGAATCCGACCCATCCCTCAAAACAAGATTTCCAGAGTCAAGAAGCACTGCCTCGGTAGAATTGGAGGGTGCAGAGGTCAAATTTGTCGTCCAAACTAGGATTTTGGACTGGTCGAAGAGGGCCAGATTGCCATCTTCTAAAATTTTAAGCTCTGAAGAATTAATATCAGAGACGGGGTTCTCTCGATTTGCTACCCAAACTATGGTCTGAGCAGAGACTTGTTTGTACCAGATGCCTATGTAGTAGTTCTGAGACGACGAAGTACCTGGCCTGAAGAAACCCAGTTCAAAGTTACCTTTTTCAGAAACTATAGTCTGGTTTCCGGAAAGAGATTGGCCAGCAGAGATGGAAGCAGCTCCGTTGGAGGGATGGGCCTTGAGAAAGAAGCAGAGAAAAAGAACGGAGAGAAAGAACCACGGATCCTTCTGGGTACGCATGTTTGCACAACCTTCTCCCTCTTCCTTCCTGGCTGGGGGTTTAGCGTTTAGGTTTAGGGAATCTCACACCAGAACATTTGGTCATGTAATGAATAACCGGGAGGGACTAGGGAGGGGAGGACTGGAACGGAAGGAAGAATAGTCTCGTCTCGTGCCCTCAAACTAAAAGGAAAACTCTCTGAGAGTCTCTGGTATCGGGTCAATGAAACCAGTAATCCTTTCCCTTTGCTTTTCATTGTTTGGCAAGTCAACCATACTCTGTTTTCACTGTAATAATATACAGTAAAGTCGGAGAAGAGGAAAGGAAATGCCTTAAATACCCTTATTGTATGTGATAAAGAAGGGCATTTTGGAGATGCAAACTCAATTTTCAGTTCAGATGCCTCTAATAGAGATTAAACTGCATCTGCATGCACTAGAGGGGGAATTTTCATGTAGCAATTTAGCAAAGGTAAAATTTCTGATTAGTATCTTGTATTTTGTGCAAGTATCACTTTAGTTCCTGAATTTTAAAATGCAACAATTTAAAAAACGTAACAATCTCAAAATCCAGTTCCTGTTATTAAAGGACATTTGAAAAAGACACAAATGCCCTGATTGGAAATTTTTCCTTTACCAAAATACATCTGGGGCCGGTATCTAGTGTCTACTGTACAGTGTGATCGCTCTCTGACTGTCTCTGTAATTCTGTATGCAAGGTGAGCTAGCAATAGTGTATGGCTGCTGTTGTCATTTAATATGGGCCTTTCGAGTTCGACTCTAGTCCAAATCTGGAGATCATAGTTCGGACGGACGTTGAGGAGGAGTCCGTCCGGTGAAAATATTAATAAGAGTTTGAATGCTTCTACCAACCAAAACCAAACTCCACCCAACAAAATTAAATATGAAAACCCACCGACAGAAGAGAAATAATGGCATTGTATGCAAGAAATTAGAAATGTGGGTGGAGTCAACATTTAACATGCGTTCTTGGCGATCGAGGAACAAGAACAACAGTAGTCCAGTCTGTTCTATGTTCTCTAAAAGCCAAGAAAGACTAACTATGATGACGGGATTGAACGGTTCAAACTTCAAACTGGGAATTAACAACCAAATTGAAAATGTTCTCTTAAAAGCGTACGTGGACTTGCTCAAATTGGACGACTACCATTCTATCCATGCCCAACGACGAGAAAGTTGATTCCAGATAGTCTATCAATTAATTTTCTATCAAAATTGTTGCATAAAATAATAATTCTTGTAAGTTGTAATGTAAGACGTAAAGACTCAAATTTGTTGGTCCCGTTTGAGAGGGGTGAGCACTGAGCAGGATGTGAACCTCATGACTTTTTTTTAAAAGTTGTTATCAAACTTAAATCCGCATTTTCATGCGTATCAACATGAGATTTTATCATTATACTAAGCAATACTATTAAACTAATAAATTGTACAAATCATCAAATGGATGGATTAGTTATTTACATAGGTGTTTGTTTGGCATCGGTGCTGGGAATATTGCATTGTTTTCTCATAAAAATGGTATTAGGCATGTGGAGTTGTAAAAGAAAATAGTGCTTATTTTTTGTTTGAAACCGGGCTGCTACATAGGGTGTTTTCTAAGAAAACAGCACTAGTTTTGTTTGGTATATGTGTTGGCAGTAACGTTTTCAATATGGTCTATATTATTCAATGTCCAAGTTGATGTTACATTGATGCCACATCATTACACCGCAGGCAGCAATGCATTGTTTTCTTAGAAAATATTGAATTTGGCATTGCTCTATACCACACATTTACGATTTCTAAGGTCTGGTCTGGAGCAACATTTTTTTTTTTTGGAAAAATGGTACCAAATAGTAGGTCGTTGTTTGAAATACCACTTCCTCTGATGTGACACTTACATGGCACCATTTTCATTGATGCCAAACACCGCCAAAGGGTACACGATTGGCACTTCTACTCCTTGTTATAAGGTGATAGCTGATAATTGAAATTCCACTGTCAATATTGGTATATGATATGTACTTAGAGATCAATGACCTTATAAGGGCTAATGAAACCAGTTTGAAGAATTTAACTGAAAGGATGGGAGATCCATCATATAGATGGCAGTACCCTGCAGGAAGGTTAGGCGAAATTTAAAAAATTTCATTACTCCCATCCAGGAATCCTATTCTCAATTTAGAAAACTGCATTTTCAATGTCCATTCTTGTAACCAAACCGGACCAAATTTGAAACCAAAATAAGGGAGGGATATACCTGATAGGGAATCCATGCAAAAATGCTCCTCACAACGTAGGTGTTCACGCCCAAAGAGTGTACCAAATCCTCTCCTCACTAAAGATGATACAGTTTAGGATGAGGTAGGATGAGTAGGTAGTTCTTCACCAAGAGCTGGTGATTCTTCAGCAAGAATTGAATGGGACAGTGAGCACAACTTCTAAATTGTTTCTTCTGGCAAGAAACAATATCAAGATCGAATCTTGATCCCATCCAAGTACTGGAGATTGAACAGGATAGGGCGGCAAGAGTAAGGAGAAAAGGAGCAGAAGGCAAGATCAGTCTAATTGAGTTGTCTTTTCTCTGTATTGAGTGAGTGTGTCTTCAAGGTTCGCCCAACTCTCTTATTTATAGCCTTAAAGTGGCAATTTCCTAATATCATTAGGAGTTTCCCGATCCAAATCTTTTAATTGGATATGGAATCTTTAAGTGATAAGGATAATCCCTTATCTTATCTGCAGATAAATATCAGCCTTCCTAATCAAATTAGGAGTTCCTTTGATCCAAATCTTTATTTGGATCTGAACTCTTTAAGTGGATAAGGATAATCCATTATCTCGTCTGCTGATCCAAATCCAAAATCCGCCCCTATTTAATTAATCTAATTAACTCAATTCGAAATGGGCTTTTAGGCCCATTAAGCTTCCAGGCTCACTTCCACTTTAATATTGGCTAGCTTGGCTCTCTTTGTATGGGCTCTTAATGGGCCCAACATTTACACTAAATGGTCATTGGGTTCAATCATCCTATGAAGGCTCAAGGACTGTGGAGAGATGCAAGATTAGCCCATCAGGTATAATCCTCAATGGTTTTACACTTAACTTCTCAGCCCATAATGATCAAAYACTRYCCAACAAGAGAGGACCTCTCCCTCGGTTGCAAGGTGCAGTGTTGCACTCTCTACTCACATGGATCTCGGGAATTAAAACCTTTTGCAAACATTTTGAAACCATAATATATATAAGTATATTTCTATATAAATATATTTTGCAAAAACAAATTTCAACGATTAAAATCAATCGCCGACAGTTTAAGTTTCCATCAGAGAGAGACACCCCTGATCATTCACTTTGTCTGACAAAGGGGTTGATCCTGTCACTATGATCACCCACTCAGATGAATTTTTAGACTGTCCTAACATATCCAGGTTTTGACCCCCTTTAAGGATCTCACTGATTGACTTATCAAAGACAGCCCAATACGACACCTAGTGCAGTATCATAATCGAGTCTAGGGGTCAGGTGTAACATTACAGTTTTGCCCATCTATCTCCAAGGTCTAGGGTAATACTAGAATTTTTGTCATGTTCATGGTTTCAAGAAAACCCACACTGCATGTACATCAGATCTCACCTTAGCAGCTGAGACAAGACACCCCAACCAATTTGGTGGTACATCAGTGTCAGCCTTGGTAGGATAAATCTCCCTAGATTTATCCAACAGTTGTGAAGATTCTAAACTAACACGAGTCTCATATGTGTCTAATTTAAGGGTATTACACAAAAATACACCATAATAACATGAATCAAATATGTACTTTATTCATTTACAATAAATGTCATAATGTACATCATGCTGATTGGAGTTAAGGGCATATATTGTCTAACAGCTCCCACTTGCACTTTGGTCCAATCGGGTACAAGTCGGAGTCCTAGACATTTTACGTGTTTCTTAAACATTTCTGTTTCAATGGGTTTGCCACATTCTCCGCTAATGCTATCTTTTAACATCAATCTCCCATAGATCCAGTGTTGTCACACAACAATGGAATGGGTGATGTGCTGAATTCCAAATTCTAGAATGAACACCTTTATTCATTAGGAAGCCTCACTTATGGTAATGTGCTCGGCTTGGGTTGTGGACTATTTTTCTTATTGCACAAGACCCTATCATAAAGATGCAACCAGATGTAGATTTTCTACCATCTGGGTCTGACTGGTAATCGGCATCAGTATACCCAAGGATCTGTAGTGAACTACCATCGAATACTAGATAAAACTCTTTTGTCATTCGAAGGTATTTCAGTATGTTTTTCACAGCGGTCCAATGCTCTTGTCCTGAGTTAGATTGGTATCTACTTACCACACTCACGGCATGAGAAATGTATGGCCAAGTGCACAGCATGGCATACATGATGTTCTCTACGACAGAGGCATAGGGAACTTCCTTCATGCCCTCAATCTTCTCAGGTGTCTTGGGAGACATACCTTGGGAGAGAGTGACTCCATGCTTGAAAGAAACATTTCCTTTCTTAGAGTTTTTCATACTGTATCTCTTGACTATCTTGTCAATATAAGTAGATTGGGATAATCCTATTATCCTCTTCGATCTATCTCTATAGAGTCGAAGTCCTAGGATATAAGAGGCTTCTCCAAGATCTTTCATGGAGAATTGCTGTAAAAGCCAATACTCTTACCGTAGTCAACATTCCTATATTATTCCCAATGAGTAGAATGTCATCTACATATAGAACCAAGAATGTAACCTTATCCCCACTGCTCTTCCTGTAAACATAGGGCTCATCTAGATTTTTCTCAAAGTCAAATTGTTTGACACTAGAGTCAAACTGGATGTTCCAACTCCTAGAATCTTGCTTAAGTCCATGTATGGATAAACTAAGTTTACATACCATGTGTTCCTAACCTACAGCTACAAAACCTAGCGGTTGCTGCATATGGATATCTTCAGTAAGATCTCCATTTAGGAATGCAGTTTTGACATCCATTTGCCAAATCTTATATTCATGGTATACTGCTACAACTAGTAGGATCCTTATGAATTTAAGCATGGCCATGGGCGAAAAGGTTTTCTCATAATCGATTACTTTTTTCTGAGTGTACCCTTTCGCCACAAGACGAGCCATGTAGGTCTCAACCTTACCGTCAAGGCCTTTCTTCCTCTTATAGATCCATTTGCAACCAATTGCTTTTACCCCAAGGGCAGATCTACCAGAGTTCAGACTCCATTGGTCTCT